GATCCGAACCTCCTCCTGTCCACCCGCTTCACTCTGGGGTCGAGGGAGCTGTGCCTTATCACACAAAACCTGGACCTCTGGCTTTGCTAATTTCATTAACATCTTGTTAATTGTGTCTCTGGAACACTGTCAGTTAAGGACCTCTGCACTCAGATAAGTTCTAACCAGCCTTGCAGAGGACACGTTTTTGTGCCACGAAGGAATACCTTCAGTTACCTGCTGCCAACAGTGATCCTGCCTTCTCCCAAGGCTCAATAAGTCACTCAATTATTCATGTAATCCCCTAATCACTGGTGGGGCTGATAGATAACTGTGAGCAAGACAAGACAGGCTTTCATGGAAGTTATAGCACAATCCAAAGAAACAGACCTTCACACACAGCTGCCCCCTTCAGGAAACAGTGGCACAATGGAAAGCTGGGTCTGGCACTGGTTAAAAAGAAGAGGAATGACAAGAAATCAAGACTGGCCTGTCCTGAACCCTAGGTTGCAAGGCTTGGGCTACTGCCTTGTTTCTCTATTTGCTGGAGAGCTGTTGAAGGATTTTTAAACCAGGAAGTGACAGCCTTGTTCTGGCAAGAATGGGTGATGGGCAGAAAGAGCAGAGGAAGGTCAATGTCACAGGAAGGCGATGCCAGCAACAGGAGAGGGGGATTCCAGGATGCTGTGGGAGAGTTCGCTTTCTTCAGGCACAAGGATGACCTGCCTCACCTCACCTCTCCCAGGGCCTCTGGTGCTGACCACACTCAGCCACACAACAGCACTGCCCAAGACACCCACGAGTCTCCCCTAGCTGTCTGGTCAGTTCTGTCAGATGCTGCTCAGCTTCAGGATGTTTCTAGAACCTGGCGGAGGCAGGGAGGTGGAGGATGCACCTCACAGAAGCACGTGTCTTCCAGCCCGGGAGGGTGCTTGTGGAAAGGGCCAGTGAGAGAAGGAAGTCGGTGGGGGGGGGGGCAGGCCATGGGACTACCTGACAGTCCCGGATGACAGGCAGAGGCTGGGGACAGAATCAGGAGCCCCAGCCCCTGTGTAGAGGAGGGGAAGGGCCTGAGGCCAGAAGCATTTGGCAGGCAAGCAGGGCCAGAAGCCGCAAAGCCGCACCCAGAACGCAGAGCTGGCATGGAGCTGGCATGGAGGGAGGAGGGGCGGTCACACTGGTCTGCTTTTCTAACTCCCAGGAAATGCTGGTTGTTTCCTGAGGTGATTACAGGTCCAACTTATAAAATCTCTTGTATCAGGCTGGGTTATTTATTTCTGATTTTCTTCTCCTGTGCCTTACTCTTTCCCGCCTCTATTCCAAATGTTCCCATGTTCACGTGACCCTTGGGAAAAGGTCTGTTACTAACATCGTCTCCTTGGGAGGGCGACATCCTTGAGACATGATCTACAAAGGCCTAGTTTCTCATCATCTCCTTTTGGGGTCAGGGTTTCAGAATGAGGAGCATGTCATGGCTGGTTCTAGCAATCCACATGGACAAGACTACCAGGCAGGAATCAGCCCTCCCTGACGTGTCTCTGACACAGAGCAAAGGATTCTTTGGCCACAAAAGAGATGATCCTCATTGGTTCCTTTTTGGCTCACTCAGAGGAAAAGCATTGTAATCATGAATGGAAGATAAGGTTTGTTTTTGTTTTGTTTTTTCTCTTCCACTGTGCCACCCAAGGTTTGGCTTGTGTCATCACAGACTTTCCAGAAAAGTTCAGGGGACTTCCAAGGGAAGCCCATGAGCTGGCAAAGCATGCACTGTCCTCTTCTTCAGGAAAACAAGCTATAAACTCTGAGTCACATCTCTGGCTGCCACATTCCTCCCCTAGAATCCATTCTCTACTAATGGAGCTCTAGATATATGCACAGTGATGGTCAGTATGAAGGCTGCAAGGGCAGTGGACACATCCAAGTTACAGATGCGCTTACTCTCTGATTTAGCAATTCTACCCCCTTGAGATCTATCTTACACTTATGTCATTACTAAAAACCTGACAAGGCCAAAGAGCCCAAAAGACCATCTGTGAGGAAATCTATTAAATAAACTGGCAAATCCATACAGAATTCTACTTGTCAAGAAGGAATAAGGCAAGGTATATTTAGATACTGCCTTGGCAAGCTCCCCAAGACATGGTGACATGCCAAGACAAGGAGTGTAGCTGTCCCGCAGCGATAAACTTGGTGCACGGAGCCGATAATAACACTCGTGGACCCTGACTGATGGTCAAAAGCCGAAGTTTATTAGTGGCATACACTGAGGGTCATACCGGATAAGGGAGGACGTATGGAGCTTATCAACAAAATCTAGTAACAGTTTCTCTTTTTGTTTGGAACTCCTTTCCTCTTGTATTTTCCACCAAGTGTTCTCACACACATACTGTCCATTCAACTGTTCTTATACAAATGATATCCAGTCAGGTATACAAAAGGTAGCCATTCAGTTGTTCTCATGCAAATATTATCCAATCAACTGTAAGCCTGTGCTCGCTGACCCTCTAGGGTCACAATGTCCTCCTACAAAGGAGAGTGCAGCACAGTGTGGATAATTTGCTAAACTTGCTAATTTTTATGTGTTTTCAAGGGGAAAACACTGAGGGTGCATGCATATTTGCAATTTCCTATGTGTATATAAAGCAGCAAAAAAGGACACATTTTATAAAGTTGAGTCCTGTGATCTGAAGGTAAGATGGGAGCACGTGTTTGAAGTAGGCTTTTTACTGTGTGGCTTGCCAATGACACACCATCACCTGGCAGATAAATAAGGTGAAGTGGCTACTTCAGCAGCTAGCAATAGACTTAGGCTTCCTTTCCCCTGGAAAAGCACTGTGGCCCCTTTAAGGACCTGCCTCGGCCCTTCTTTACACAGAACCCTGGGTGTCTCACTTCCCATTGCAGTCTCCACCATGGACACAATGGCTTCTCTCCCTTCTTTGGGAGCACTTCAAACATTTGTGGAAAACGAAATCAAAATACATTTATGTGGGTGTTAAAAAAAACCAGACATCCATGCACAGAGAAGTATCCAAAAAGTTTATGGAAAGTTAAAAAAAAAAAAGTTTATGGAAGGTGTGTGTTGCGGTGCAGCAAGTTAAACCACCGACTGGGATACCTGTATCCCACATCAAAATGCTGGTTCAAGCCTCGCTACTCTGCTTCCGATCCTGCTCCCTTCTAACTTACCTAGCAAGCAACAGATGCGGGCCCAAGTACTTGAGTCCCTGCCTCCACCTGAGAAATAAATCCAGGTGGAGTTCCTGGCTCCTGGCTTCAGCCTGACCCAGCCAGCTCAGGATGTTGTGGCCATTTGGGGAGTGAGTTAGTGGAATTAAAGGTTTCTCTTGTTTCTGTCTCTCTCTCAAAAGTCATTCTGCCTAAATAAACAAATATTTTCTTAAGTTTTATTTATCTTTATTGGAAAGGCAGATTTTACAGACAGAGAGGGAGGCAGAGACAGACAGATCTTCCATCTACTGGTTTACTCCCCAAATGCCACAATGGCCAGAGCTGATCCAAAGCCAAGATCCTGAAGCCTCTGCCAGGTCTCCCCTGTGGCTGCAGGGGCCCAAGGACTTGAACCATCCTCTGCTTCTTTCCCAGACAATAAACAGGGAGCTGCATCAGAAGTGGAACAGTGGGACATGAACCAGCACACCCATATGGAATGCCAGTGCTGCAGGGTGGAGGATTAGCCTGATATACAAACGCACTGGCCTCCAATAAATAAATCTTTAAAACAAAAATAGTTCCTGCAGAATACAGATCATGAAAATACTATTCATAGAGTTTAAATCTTCTGCACTGAAATAAACTTTGTTTTAATGCCATCTTCCATGAGCTCTCTGTAATGCCCTCATGTTGAAAACCAGGGGTGGGACCAGGCAGGCTGCAAGCCAACAGGCACCTCACCCGCCCTCCTTCCTGCCCGCGTACTCTCAGCAGCTTACTTTCTGAGTCTGTGGACTGAGTATCCATGACCACAATTGGAACCATTTAACTTCTCATCAAACCAGCAATAGGATTTATCACCAGGAAAGCTCCAGTTACTTTCCAGCAATGCAGCCACTTGTGTTTAAGGCAGGAAGAGAGCATTTCCTCACTACTAGGAATATCTGACCCTTTTGTACAGTCATTGTATCTTTCAGTCATTACTGATATCAGGAAGTAGCCCAACAATGACCCAGGATCATGAAAGAGGGGTTGAATCTCCTAGTATAGACTCTCCTAACTGTGGCTTTTTCTTCACACAAAGCAAGCTCTGGTTGTGAATGGAGTAATATCTGGATTATCTCACTCTAAATGTGCCTTCGTGTGGGTTACACAGTGGCATTTTGTCTAAATATATACCTGACATCTTACTCTAACATACTTTTCATGTTGGATCATGATAACTAACTGCCATGCACCAATTTTTTTTTTTATTTTTAATAGATTCTGTTTAGTTGAAAGGAAGAGGAAGGTGGGCAGGGAGAGAGAGCAAGAAAGTGCCAACATCAGTCTGTCAGTTGGCTCACCTCCCACTTGTCTATAACAGCCAGGGCTGAGCCAAGTCAAAGCCAAGATTCAGAACTCAGTCTTGGTCTCCAGCACATGTGGTTGGGATCCAAGTGCTTGAGCCATGGGGGCGAGCCATGGCCTCCGGGCAGTTCCCTGAGGGGCAGGTGGCTCACCTCCCTCTGTTTCAGACAAGGCTTGGGTCAGACCGAGGGTAAGCAGTGCAGGTCTTCACTGTGCTGGGTGTTGAACTGAGCACAGCTGAGTTTAAGTATTATCCATCGTCTCAAGAACAACTAGTAGGGACACAGCCAAAGGCCTTAGAATGAACTTAGCAGCTACGCTAATGGCAGGGGCAAGATGTGCCGAGGGGTTGGTGCCACCTGGTGTGGGTGGTTCCAACTTTCTCTACACTCCTTGGTACGGGACTTTGGCTAGAAAGGAGACAAAAAGCAGACCCCAAACAGCAACCTGACTCGGGCCCCTGTGCTTCCTCCTGAAAGGCTTCCCCTGCTGGCGTGATGATGCTGTACAAGAAGACAAGGCTGCTGCTGTTCCTCTTCTCCCAGGTGGCCATCTTGGCCCTCTTCTTGCACATGTATGGCCACACCACCTTATCTTTGGCCAAAAAGGAGGAGCCGAAGCCCGTACACGTGCTGGTCCTCACCTCCTGGCGCTCGGGCTCATCATTTGTGGGACAGCTGTTCGGGCAGCACCCTGATGTTTTCTACCTCATGGAGCCTGCCTGGCACGTGTGGATGAGCTTCAAGCAGAGCACGGCCTTGAGACTGCACATGGCCGTGCGTGACCTCATCCGGTCCATCTTCCTGTGCGACATGAGTGTCTTCGATGCCTACTTATCGCCCGGATCCAGGAAGCTGTCCAGCATCTTCCAGTGGCACATCAGCCGAGCCCTGTGCTCCCCGCCAGCCTGTGGCGTCTTCCCTCGTGACTCCATCATCCCCCATGATCACTGTAGGGTCCTGTGCAATCGTGAGCCCTTCGAGGCAATGGAGAAGTCCTGTCGCTCCTACAGCCATATAGTGCTCAAGGAGGTGCGCTTCTTCAACTTGCAGTCCCTCTACCCATTGCTGACAGACCCCTCCCTCAACCTGCACATCGTGCACCTGGTGCGCGACCCCCGGGCTGTGTTCCGTTCTCGGGAACACACTGCAGGAGACCTCATGATCGACAGTCGCATTATCATGGGGGAAAAGTGGGAGAAGCTCCAGAAGGAGGAACAACCGTACCACACACTGCAGGTCATCTGCCAGAGCCAGCTGGAGATCTACAAGGCAGCCCAGTCCTTGCCCAAAGCCCTGAAGCAGCGTTACCTGCTCATGCGCTATGAGGACCTAGTCCGGGAACCTCTGGCCCAGACTTCTCGAATGTATGATTATGTGGGGTTGAAATTCTTGCCTCGTCTCCAGACCTGGGTGTACAACATTACCAGAGGCAAGGGCTTGGGCGGACATGCCTTCAATACCAACGCCAGGGATGCCATCAATGTGTCCCAGGCTTGGCGCTGGTCCTTGCCATACACCAAGGTTGCTCACATTCAGAAAGTCTGTAAGGACACCATGGATTGGCTGGGCTATTATCATGTCAGATCTGAACAGCAGCAGAAAAACCTGTCAACGGATCTTCTGTCTGCCTGGAGGCCCTCAGAGCACATATTCCAAGAGAACTGATGAGGCTCAGTGTCCACCTGGACTGGCCTCAGCCATGCTCACGGCATTCTCGGAGCCTTCACTGGGTCTCTGCAGATCCCTGTGGTGACCAGGAGTCGAACCCACAAGTGCTCCAATAGAGGAACTGGGTGTCTGCCATCCTGTCCAGGAAAGAGATTTAGGAACCTTATGTGAGCAGCTCTCTCCACCAACAAACTAAGGGGGCTTGCCTTGCGTCTCGACCTTTCCATCCGTACACATGTCAGAGGTCCCGTGGCCTGGAGGCCCATGGGGCACCACACAACATCAGAGGAGTATCTCGTCCAAAGGGAAAGGATGGAGTCGATGAAAACCAGGAAGGGCGACTTTCACCAAAGACTGCCCTGGAGCGTGTCTCAGAGACAGTGGCTCCCAGCCCTGGGTTTCACAGGAGGAAACCGGCATGGAGTCGGATGCTCATCCAATGAGCTTGGCTGCCACAGCCACGGGCAGGGGGTGACAACTACAGAACAGAACGGGCTCCCAGGTTCCCAAGGAGTCTAGGCGCGATTTGGATGTCACTAACCATCTACATTTGCCTGTCACACAGAAGACTTAGACCTGAGACGCTGCCATCCTCTAACACTGAGAGTCCAAAATGAAATCCTGTACCCTTCTTTGTCTTTTCAATGCTGCAAGTAAGCGCCCATTCACAAGGTCTCCTCTAACACAACAATGCGACCACCTTTGCAGTTTTCCTTTCCCTTCATATTTTTGCCATTAGCTATCACCTACATGCATTAATATTGTGAATTCAGTGCTCAATATCAGATAGGTCCTAGATCTGTACCTTTCTAGGAAGTGGCAGAGAGGCAGTCATTGGCATAGCAGTTACGACTGTGAAATGCCCACATCCCACATTGGGGTGACTGAGTTTGCATGCCAGCTCCACTTGGGGTTCCAGTTTTTGTGCGCCCTGGGAAGCAGCAGGTGATGGCTGCCTTTGGTTCCTGCCACTGACATGATGAGACGCCTCCCTGAGTCCCAGCCTTCCGGCTCCAGCCTTTCTCAGCCCTCACTGCTGCAGGTGCAGGGAGAGTAACCCAGCATATGGGACAACTCTCTTTCCCTCTCTCTCATTCTGTCACACTGCCTTGAAAATAAATCTATTTTTAATAAAGTCAGCATCTTCCTCTCTGTGATTGGGGTGCACAGAGCTGCCCACTTGTCATTCCCCAGAAACATTCGCCCTGCTGTCCCGTCATGAGGAGAGTGGTAAGCCACGGGGAGGTGGCAGAATTTGTCCAGGATCCACTTTAACACACCAGGAATTTCCTGTGACACCAGCCCCGGATGTCCATATACCGGGCAGCTCCTCTTGGGAAGGCTGGGCCACCCACAGCAGCCACCTGTCACTTGTAGCAGTTTAGACTTTAATGAATCAGAATATTCAGTCTCTCAGCTGCACTAGCCACACAGTTCAAGTACTCGAAAGCCACAGGTAGCAGATGGCTACTGAGCTGGACAGAACAGAATCCATCTCCATGAATGCAGAAGTTCAACTGGGACAGAGCCGATCTAAATTAATTTTCTTTTGCACATAACCTCATCTTATATAACCTCAACCCCAACCCCTGACCCATTACTTTGAAAAGCTTAAAGAATATGCACTAATAGTACCACGGTACCTTTCTATAGTCCAAGAAGATATATAGTATAAAATCCTGCAATATGTATTTGCATGAGACTTTGGTGAACAATGAACAGATTCTGACTGACATGTTTGGGGGGCAGCAGCATAGGGTGGATGGCAGCACACTCAACGGGGGGAGGGGCCCAGGGAGCAGAGCCCTGGTGGTCAGCACAGAGAATGGGGCCCTGGCAGTGCTCTTTTCTGTTCTGTCCGCAATAGGAAGGCATTGCTGGGTCTCCCCAGCCTGTTGACCTACACAGAGTCTGACAATGAGGCTGATTCCAATATGTCAGGGCTGGGACCAGTGCCAAGGTGAGAAGGGTGAAGCGGTCACCTGCAACATCAACATCCCATGTGGGTGCCAGTTTGTGTCCTGGCTGCTCTGCTTCCCACACAGCTCCCTGCTAACGTGCCTAGCAAGGCAGCAGCACAAGGTCCAACTCCAGGTGGGACACTTGGCTGGAGCTCCTGGCTTCTAGCTTCTGCTGGGCCCAGCACTGGCTATTGTCGCCATCTTGGAGTGAACCAATGGACGGAAGATCAATATCTTTTTCTCTCTGCCTCTCCCTGCATCTCTAACTGTTTCAAATAAATAACTTCTCAAAAGTGTCTCAAGGCTAATTTGGAGGTCATGGCAATGAGGTTCCTTAAGTCTTGAGTAAACCAAATGGCATCAGGTGCTTAATTTCAGGACATCAATGGATATCTTTAGTTAAAAAAAAAAAAAAGACTACCCCTCACCCCAAACACTGGTGTTTACAGGAAAGATAAAGGCCCTCAATATCACAGGATAGGACTTTAGAGGACAAGAAAAGCATAGTCTTGAAACAGAAACAAAGGGGGTTCCAATCCCATATAATTTAACTACATTTCTATCTGCAGTTACTACACGGCTTTGACCGCCAGTGCCAAATCTCAGTATATTCCATTAAAATTAATTTCTTTTTCAACTTATAAGTAGTAGTCACAGCAGCAGAGTTGACTTCTAATGATCCTTGCTCAAAAAAATCTGCTATTGCATTTTCTGCAATGCATTTTCCCAAAAGAAGTTAACATTTACTTTGTGGTTTAAACCCAAGGTAACTATAGATGGATTTCACTGGCTGTGGACATCATCATGACTCTCTCAAATTCTTTTCACAGACCAGCAAAGCAAACTACAGACTGAACACACATGGGTGACACAGGCTAGTTAGTTAAAAGGCTTCTGATGGGCACTGGTGAACACTGGCCCCTTCTTCTTGGCCTTGACTCTTGGTCATTCAGAGGGATGGACTGGGAAGCGGACTTGAACACAGTATTTGGCTAAAGGGTGTCTTCCCTCACTCCGCACATTTAATGGGCATCAGGTGCTGTGGACAGAGCAATTAACATGGCAGGTGAAGCCTGTCCTTTCACACAGCAGACGTTTCAGTCAGTTGGGGTGTGGAGAACAATAAACTGTCTTCCCCCAGGAAGTGATACTCTGGGAGGAGAGTCTGCCCTGCAGCCGTCGGGGTAGAGTGCCGTGGCAAACACCAGCATCAGGAAGGCCGTGAATGGGCACCCATGATGCACCAGGACAAGCCTCACAGAGACTAAAGAAGTGCAGATGCTATGGGGAGGGCAGGAAGATGATGGCAAGGCTTTCTGCACTTGGGAGCATGTGGGCACTGGAACTGTGCCACCTGGGTGAGTCTTGCAGTGCCAACCGGCAGGTTCCCCAACATAATCCCCGGCTCAGTCCCCTCAAGGGCAGCCATGCAGGTGGAACAACAGTGGGCCTCTCTCAGAACTGCTGGAGGGCTAATGAGTCAACCAGCCCAGCGGAACGGGCTTGGCAAGCACTCACAAGTGTCCAAGGGTTCGCTGCACTGCCCCGTTCCTCAAGGAGACAGCCTTACACTGAGGATGATGAATCCCTTCTGACATTTCTGATCTGACTCACAGAAATGGCAGCTTGAGAATTTCTGATCCTCTGGATTCTCTATCTTATTTACAATGGGTAAAGAACTATAGATACTCATTTGAGGATTTTTTTTTTTTCTTGACTGATGCAACTGGGGAGAGGCAGGGTGCTGTTAACCATGCCACGATGCCCGTGACAGTTTCCCATGACCCAGGATTATCTGGCCCAAATGATCTACAGTGCTAGCTGTTGAGAAACCCCACTTTACATTAACCAGGGACAAGGACTGATGGTTGTTGATTCCAATGAATTTCTCCCCCATAAATCACTCAGTCCCATTCCAAGGAACATGTCCCCAGCCCAAATGTCCCACCTGGGGAGACATCCTTGCAGGTCTTTTGCGGTGCATGCTCTTTGGGTGGCCAGTTCAAGAGGAGAGGAGCAGAGCAGGCACTTCAAGGACCACAGAGCCACATCACAGCAGGTGAAGAGAGAGGAGGTTTGAGGGAGAGCTGGCCAAGTGCAGCTGTACTTCCTGGGAAAGGCCGCCACAGGGCCAGACTGTTCCTTAGCCTGATCACAGCGTGTGTCCCACATACTTCACACAGCTGTGGCCAGGGGAGCAGGGGGGCTAAGGGGCCGCAGGGGCAGGACAGATGGAGCCAGAGGCAGATTGTGAGACAAACCAGTCTGGAGGCAGGAGTCAGTCCTGAACATCACGGTGTGTGGCTCAGGCCAGTGTTTTGTTCCTTGTTACTCCTACCGTGCACTCTCAGCAGGCCTTCACAGATGTGCCTCCTCAGCTGCACCCCCAGCAAACTTGAGCATCACACACAGTGCCATCTGCTTACCCACTGTGGCCCTTGCAGGATCCGATGCTTTATAACCACTAAGTGTTTTGTACCGGCAATACTGTCTGCTATCTTTTGTGTATTTCACTATTCTTACCCCAGTATTTCTCTTTCTCAGTGTGACCTTTCATTTGACATCCCCCAGATTATGTCCCTTGTTCAACATGAGCTTGATTTGAGGAAAACACCTGGGCAAGACCTATAAGAATGCTGATGATCAGTAGCAGTGAGAAAAAATCAGATCAGGAATGCCTTTGTCCCCTACCCTGCCTCAATCTACCCCAACCCTAACTGGCTACAAGGATCACTGGGCCTGCTTTTCTGGCTCATTTTCTTCCTTAAAAACAAATTTTTTTTCACTGGAAAGTCTGATATACAAAGAAGAGGAGACAGAGAGGAAAATCATCTGTCTGCTGATTCATTGCCCAAGTAATTGCAACGGCTGGAGCTAAACCAATCTGAAGCCAGGAGCCCAGAGCTTCTTCCAGATCTCCCACACGGGTACAGGATCCCAAAGCTTTGGGCTGTCCTCAACTGCTTTCCCAGGCCACAAGCAGGGAGCTGGATGGGAAGTGGGTCTGCCAGGATTAGAACTGGTGCCCATATGGGA